AACACATTATTGAAGTCGACACCTTCTTTATGAGTGAACCCCATAGCAACCAAACTTACCTTGTATCTCTTCAACTCCACTCCTTTGATTCCTTCCTTAATTTTGAAAATCCATTTACAGCTGACTAACCTGACTCTAGCAGGTTTCTTAATCAGTTCCCAGGTGTTGTTATCATGAAGAGATTTCATCTCATCATCCATGGCCTTCATCCGTTCATTCTTCTTTCGACTCTTCATAACTTCCTTATAGTCTCCATGTTCTTCATTTAGAACCTCACTTGCAGAGATTAAGGCATAAGCTATAAGATATACATACCCAAGTCTTTGAGGTGGATTGATGAATCTTTTCGACTTGTCTCTTGCTAGAAGGTAGTCATTATTAGTATCCTCATCTTCGACAACATAGTTTGCATGTTCTTCGACTTCATCTGAGGTACGCAATTCAACATCAACATGCTCCACCTCAACAGGAATCTCTCCCTGTTCCAGCTCTTCGTCATAATCATCAATTTTCTTGGAAGTCATCTCTGCTTCATTGAAAACTGCATCTCGACTAGTGACACACCTCCTGTGACCTGACTCTAGGCACCATAGCCTATAGGCTTTGATTCCTTAAGGGTATCGCATGAACATGCATTTTAGAGCTCTAGGTTCGACCTTGTCTTACCTAATATGAGCATAGGCCACACAACCAAATACTCTTAGTCTGTCGACACTAGGTGGATGTCCCGACCAAACTTCTTCAGGTGTCTTCATTCCCAAGGTAGTGGAAGGACATCTATTTATCAGGTAAGCTGCTGTCGAAACAACCTCCACCCAAAACATCTTCTTCAATCCAGCACTAACCAACATGCATCTAACATTTTCAAGGATTGTTCAATTGAATCTCTCAGCTAAGCCATTTTGTTGAGAAGTACCTGCTACAGTCTTATACCTTGCAATCCCAGACTTAACACAATAACTATTGAACACTTTGTTGCAGAATTCAAGGCTATTGTCGCGTCTTAACCTCTTAACCTTTCTGCCAGTTTGAGTTTCGACCATAATCTTCCACCTTTTGAAATTCCCAAAAGTTTCATCCTTCGTCTTCTGAATGAATACCCATAGCGTTTTGGAATAGTCATCAATGATGGATAGAAAATACCTTGCACCTGAGTGTGAAGGATTCCTTACAGACCCCCAAAGATCAGCATGAATGTAATCCAGGGATCCATGTGTTCTTTACTTGCCTTTGTTAAACCTCGCCCTACAAGATTTACCAAATACATAAGATTCACAAAACTCTAACTTTTCAACTTTTTCACCTCCTAGAAGGTTCTGCTTCCCAAATTCGACCAGGCCTCTTTCGGTGACATGTCCCAATCTCATGTGCCATAGTTCTGTCTTCGACACTGGTTTCATGGATGCAACATTTATTGAACCACTTATAACATCAGCCTCAAAGGTATACAAGCCTTATTTCTTCACGCCTCTCAAGACTTCCTTCGATCCCTTCACGGCTCTTAGGATACTTTTCTCTCCTTGAAAAATATATCCCTTTCTGTCGAATTCACCAAGAGAAATCAAATTTCTCTTTAAGTCAAATACATACCTGACTTCAGTCAATAACCTTATTGACTCATTGTAGATGTTTTTGATTGGCTGCATTTTATGGTAAAACATTAATGTATGCGTAGATGTCATGACATGCTTGTGTAGTGTTCTGCAAGGTAAGTTTAGTTAGCTAGCACAAAGTGAATTGGATGTCATACTGAATGTCATGACATCAGGTAACTGACATAAAGGACGCATGTTGGTTTTCTGTTACAATGCATTAGTAAGCTCAGGCTAGAATTCAGGAAACATTTTACGGAGCTTAGTTATCTCAGGTGAAATGTCAGGCAGTGCTGAGGATAACATAAAATGCTTATGACCTAACTGTAAGTGCGCAGCTTTATGAAAAGAGGTTTAACTTGGTTACACCTAATTTCTGCACTGAGGTCTAAGGAAAAGATGCTGCATATAAATAACAAAGTAGTAATTCTAATTAGATGGAGAGTGTTTTGTGAGTGAAGAATTATGTGTGTAGTTAGTTCTTCACGTGTGTTTGTGTGTCTTAGGTTTCCTTGTGAGCCAAGCAATTATCTGCTGTATGATTGCATTGGACTAGTGTTTTTGAGTTGTATGTTATTTGTGTCACTCTAAGCTTTTAAGCACGAGTGCTGTGTCTCTTGATTGAAGCTGCGAAATAAGATAAAGATTTGTTTGAAGTGTGTCTTCATTTCTATCTGTAACTTTAATTGGTTGATATCACTGCTGTGATTGAGGGGGAGTGAGTAGGTACTCAGGTCTAGTGTTAGGCTGAAGTTGCATTAGGGAGGTTTTAAGTAAAGAGTGCAAACTGATTGTTTGACTCTGAATTAACACTGCTAATAGTGAATTTCCTCCCTGACTTGGTAGCCCTTAGAGTAGGTGTGATTTGCACCAAACTGGGTCAACAATTCCCTGTGTTATTTACTGTTTTTATTTCCAGTTTATTGTCTGTTCAGTAGTGGATATCATAACATCCATTATAACATCAACTGGTTGGTACCTATAATTTCACTCATCATGGAGCTTGAATCTCACAGTTCCAATACCTGTAATTTTGCAAGATTTGTTATTTCCTAGGAGCACAAATCCACCATCTTGGTCAAAGGTTTGTATTCAGAAGGTTTGTTTACCCAGTTTGATCAAACAATCTACTATGGGGGAGAGAACAACTCTTCAATTCACTATACTCAGAAAGTTGTTACAAGAGATTACATATGAGTTACAAGAAAATAGTCTTCGCTTTCAGGTTCTCAAAAACAACCCTGAAGGCGCCCAAGAATAATCCTATTTTTTACCCAAGTGTTTCCCTACCTCTCCAACTCTCAATATATGAATCACTCAAACTCAAGGTGTAATCCAAGGTTTTCTTTGTGTATAGTTGAAACTCTGTGCTATACCTTTAAACACTTTGTATCCCTTGTTGGTGAAAACTCTAAGATTGTCACACACCAAACATATAAGAGATACATATTTATAATAACAAATACCTAACAAACAAAGTCCAAAATCACATGGATTGAATCGAAAAAAGTCCGAAAACACAAAAACACTATTCACCGTACGTACATCACTATTCACCGTACGGGTGTCACTATTCATCTGTACGGATACCACTATTCACCGTACGAACATCAGTATTCATCGACCGATTTTTTTTCACTCGACTTTTCGTCCGACTTTCTGAAACTTCCGATTTTCACGGTAAATGCAATCTCCAAAATATGTTTTCTTTCTCTTCATCAACTGATGTTTTAAAGCACATTTACAACAGTAAGACTTCAATTAACTAACACCGACACTAATACAGATGATAAACATTCTGAAATCAAATTCCTCCACTTCTCACAAAACCCCATTTTTTCTATCACGTAAAATAGAAAATTTCAATCCACTAAATCACACACCTTTTCAAAATCTACTTTGAAGAGAATCACTTCTTTCATCTTTCTTCCAATCTCGTCAACAATTTTCATTTTGCCACTAGCACCAAATCCAAACTTAATAATTTAAAACATTTTTTTTATTAAAAAGAGGGTTTAAGCCCAAAGAAAAAAGATTACACCGATATTAATTATGGGGTTGGAACCCCTATCATATCACCTTCTAACAAGTGAGGAACAAAGACGGACAACTATCAAAGATACAATTTTCATTAGAAAGAGACAATCCCTTTCTAGCAAGAACATCTGCACATAAATTCGCTTCGCGATAAACATGGATAACTTTAATCTCCCTATTATGAAAGAGGTAAGATCTGATTTTGGGGTTCAGTTTCCTACTCGTGATATTCCTTGTGTTGTTTGTATTGATATCATTGACGACTTACTGAGCATTTACATTAACGCCAATGCTCGTAAAACCCATTGTCATTGTAAGTTGCAATCCTTCATAAACTCCCCAAAACTATACTGTATAACAATCACAAACTCAAATGTACTTTGAAAACCCCCTCAACCATTCTCATTCATTTCCTATAGTAATACCACTACAACATGTATTACCTTGCTTATCTCTAACACCATCTGTGTTCATCTTCACTCTCCCGATTGTGGGAGTTTCCCGTTTAATTAATTTAAACTCTCTACAATAATTCTTATTTGTGCCTATTGTCGCTTTCGCTTGTTTATAATTTTGTATTAGCATATTAATGTGAGTCGCCATACATGTTGGTCTAAAATAATTATCTTTATTATACTAATTTTAAAGATTATGATAAACATTTGTCCAAAACACCTTCCAATCATCGCTTTCATACCACCCGATATTAGTTCGCATGTAGCTATAAATTTATTACTTTAAATCACTTGAAAAAAATTAAACCTCATATTAGTGTGAAACACTCTCGTTAAGAGAGCCATAGCACACAGACAATCTCAGAGAACATGTAACATGTCTTCTTCTACATCTCCGTAGAAGAAACACATCGCACTCCCAATGCCAAACCGATTCTTTTTCATATTACTATTAGTGAGAAGACCATCATACATGAAGAACCACAAGAAAGTTTGGATAAGTTGAGCGGATGGAAGGCTCCAAATATCATACCAAACATCATTTTTAAAAGTGAAGACAATGTCATAAAAAGAGATAAAATAAGCATAAAAACAAAACTTTTCCAGGTGGCAAGCTCCCACGTGTAATGAATTATTGCAAGTGCGATCTAACGTGTTAGCATCGCCTAATGACAATTAACAATCCCTTTGACGATCAGCTCAACCTAAACCAGTCGGACCTCACTATCCTCAACCTAAAGTGGGTCCCCACAAAGTAAAGACAATAATTAATACACAAAAAGAAAAAGGACAAGTTTGAATCAACCATTATTCAATTCATTGTTGTAGGAATTTCCACATTTCACGTTTTCACAATAGCAAGCAGTAGCTGCAGAACGCACAGAAATAACTGATTAAGACTTAACTGCGTCGTGCGATGGACGACGCAACAGCTTCGGAGCTGAACAAATCAGGTAGCGGAGGATCGGAGCGAGATGCCGGCGAAGATAAAGATAGAGGAATTTTCGAGTTTTTCGGTTGGGTTTATCACTTGGGAGTTAATTCCATTGGTCGTGAGTATTGTCATCTCCGATTCCTTTTCATTAGGGGAAAGTATGTTTCTATGTACAAGCGTGATCCTCATGAAAACCACGCCATTGTAGGTTTCTTCTCTTTCTTTATGCTACTTTATTATTGCATACTGTTAATTAACACCGAGGAGTAGTAATTACTAATTCTGAAGAGTGTTCCGAGTTAGGTGACGATTAAATGCTAATTACTGCGGTGTTTAGTGTTTAATTTTGTGATTTACTTCCTAATTCTACTATTTATGACGAAAATCGGTTTCAGTTACTAGCACTATTTAGCTAGTGGATTTGGCTATTCTAAAGTGAATAGTTTGTAAAGTGAGAAAATCTAAGAGTTGAACCAATTGTAATTTTATTAGTATGCATGTGCATATAATAACTACTTTTGATTTGTTTATAGATGGTTTTGGTGTTACTCACTTTAATATTTAAAGTGAATTTCTCACCTTAGAGGAGCTTTGTCTTTAGTTTGTTATACCGAAATATTTAAATATGATATCGATGCAGAGACATTAGACATACATGGCCACTGGACACGACGGATACGCGCCTTTGATAATAATTGAACAGACATACTTGTTAGTTTCAATAGTAATCTTTTAAATGCGAGTTGTAAATTTGTAGTAGTTCTACTTCACTTGTTAGTTAGTTGTCTGTTTTTGTTTTTTAATTATCTGTTTATTTTATAACAGTTTAATGCTTACTGTTAAAAATTTTGTATGTGCAGAAACCTATTAGGAAAGGGGTTGTAGGTCCCACACTAATGGTGGAGGAGCTAGGGCGCCGGAAGGTCAATGATGGGGTAAAGTTATTGCTTAATAATCTATGTGGTTACGAAATTAAATTGATTGTATGTTGGTTTTGATGGAAATGGAATGTTCTGGTTATGGTTAAAGTCATGACAATATCTTGTGATTTGAGTGCACTTGTTTCATTTAATTATATTTTTGATGGAAGCTAAGTATTTTTTTTGTCTTCTTTCCCAGGATCTTTATGTTTTACGGTTTTACAATCGATTAGATGAGGCCAGAAAGGGAGAAGTAAGTTATAGTTTTGAGTTCCTTAATCTAATAATACTTTATAGTGATTGAAAGCATATTACCACGCAGCATGCTTTTTAACAGGTAAAACAGTTTGGAAAAATTCAACATTGATTGTCTTGTAACTTGTTTCACTCTACTACATATAAAACCAAAGCATAAGGTTCTATTGTAAAAGTAGCTGCCAAGTTATGATAATAATTTTAAGAAATCTCGAGGTTTCTTTCAACTTTTGTTTAGAAAAAACACCGAACCTAGGGGTGGAAACAAGCCTGACTAACTGATAGGGGCCCTACACCCGAGCCTACTTCAGGCCTAAGCCAGGTCATATATTTTTTTCAAGAAAATAAATACGGCTAAGGCTTTTTAAAAAGCTTATTTAGCGAAAAAGACGGGCCACAATGCCGGCCTACTTAAGTAAATATCAATAATTTACTTTTACAACTATTCTTATTATACTAAATTTTGTATTTTGTATATCAATTATTTACTTTTACAACTATTCTTATTATATTAAATTTTGTATTTTGTATTAATCAATTTCATTTTTTATTTTTTTTTACCAAAAACATTTTCATTAGGTTAAGCATATCATCTTACATTAATTTTTGACACGTTTAAATGTATTATTATAAAATAGAATTGAAATAGGTTGTCATGTAGAGTCATACTCTCTAAATATCATGTTAAATCTCAAAATATAACTTAATCTCAGTGACCTATTAGCTCATTAGACTATTCAAACATATGTCATATTACTCATTTGAAGACGTTAGTATGAAATAGGCTTTTAAGTAAACTTACAAGCCATATCAGATTTTCAAAAATAAGCTTATGATAGGTAATAGGCTAGAATTCGGCCTTGAATTTTTGGGTTAGACGAGACTTGGGCCTTGAATTTTTTGGTTAGTCCAGACTTGGGCATTGCAAAGCCTTACTTGACCTAGCCTATTTCCATCCTAACTGCACCCCTCCAAAGCTTTATGTGCATAATCAGATTTTTAACTAAGACTGTTTTACAATACTTACCCTGTTACATTTTCAGGTTAAATGCATGTGTTGTAATTTGTTAAGTTCCCTGCATGCTCGAAGTGCAAAAACCATAACGAGTCTCACCTTGTAGACTGAGACCCATGTAGGTGAACTTTACACAGAGTTGCAGGGATTAAGAAATCATTGAAAACACCTTGTGGCAATGCTTGCGTTAAGGTTTTTTTAACTCAGTCTTGCTAAAAAGGATGTGCCAAATTCCACAACATAATATAAAATTTATGGACAGTTCCAAAACAAGAAATGTCGATATTAGTACTTATGAAGAAACAATAGCCGCCCGAGAGTGTTTCCTTAAGCCAATTTAAGTGCAACATAAAACTTTGGTGAATAACCATTACAAGCTGTTATTTTTCCTTCTTAGTAAAAACTTTCAACTAGAGTTCCTTATTTTTAATTATCCCTTGATGTTATTCCAGAGATTAAAATTGATAACATAAACTGGCCCTCAAATTTATTACCACCCTTGCTGCGAGGAGTGCCATCAAGATGGTTAACTAAGTTCCTAGATTTAAAATTTATAATATAAACCTGCCCTTGAATTTTCCCGTTTAAAGGTTTGATACAGTTTCTTGATTGAACAATCGTTCTAACACACAAATGTATCTGCATATGTTGGAAGCTGATTTTTTAGAATTTAATGAACCACCATTGCCATGGGTTTTATAGTTATTTCCTTATTTTTCAGCATATAATTAACTATTCTTTTTGTTCATTTTCATCAAGATTGCTTGTGCTACAGCTGGGGAGGCCCGGGGATGGATAGAAGCATTTGATCATGCCAAGCAACAGGTATGATAAAATAACTAGAGGAAGGCATGCTTGTACTTGCTACCTTCCTAGCCTGATTGAGATTGGAAGTCTATTTCTGGGGGAAGGGAGTTTGAATTGAAGTTCCTGTTTCGAAATTTTCCATAGCTTTTCCATTTGAGTAAAGAACTGAGATGTCATGAAACTATAAGGTATTTACCATAACTTTTGTATGAATTTAATTTATTGGACATATGCTCGTTTCAGGCTGAGTATGAATTGTCCAAAGGTGGTAGTGCCAGAGACATACTAAACATGGAGGCCGAGTATGCTTTGTTTCCTTCAATCTTTAATGCATCATGCTAATATGCGAATAATAGTATTAGTTAAATGGTCTTATTAACAATGGTAATTGGTAAATGATTAATAATGGTTTTTGTATCATACATGTTAGCAGAGAATTGCAATGCTTTTGGCCCCTTATATTGTCTGTCCTTTTTTTCTTCTTTTTTTTTTAACTTATGAAATCCATGAACAGCAATAACTTTAAATAATTTCAAGGAATATTGCTGGGTGCATTATTAGATGTTCTGCCTTTTAGGTTGTCCTTTTATTAGATGATTTATCATAAATTTACATATCATTGCTCTTTATGTTTTGGAAGGATCAATCTTGAAGGACATCGGCCTAGAGTGAGGCGGTATGCCCATGGATTAAAGAAGCTAATAAGAATTGGCCAAGGTAAAAAATTTGTTTAATCAATGATATTAATCATGGATTGCTTTTGAGGCATTGTTTTTATAATTTATATATTGAATAATGTGTTCCACAATGCTTCTTAGTCAATGTGGTCTGAAATTATGGAGTGATAGTTGTGAAAATGTGGTTCTGATTCAATGTTATTTATATTTATGTAAGGAATCCCAGGTTTGCTTTTGAGGCATTGTTTTTATAATTTGTTTAATCAATGATATTAATCATGGATTGCTTTTGAGGCATTGTTTTTATAATTTATATATTGAATAATGTGTTCCACAATGCTTCTTAGTCAATGTGGTCTGAAATTATGGAGTGATAGTTGTGAAAATGTGGTTCTGATTCAATGTTATTTATATTTATGTAAGGAATCCCAGGTTTCTTTTCTGATTGCTATTTTCTGGAGTTGCTGCATTATTTTTTTTAACTCTTGTATCTGTTTCTCTTAACTTATTCTTGCTCTATCTTTCTGAAAGGCCCAGAGACACTGTTACGGCAATCATCAAAGTTGGCTGGTAGGGCAGATGGGTTTGAAGGGGATAATGGAGACACAGTTGAAGCACATCAATGGAAATGTGTTCTTACTGTGGCTGGTATTTTTCTTGTCATAAACATACGTTATTTTGTAGCCTGATACTAGCCAGTGGCAGTTTATTGCTCTAATACCCCTTTCCTTTTTAGTGATTTCTTAATACTGATAAAATATTTTGATTTAAAGGCATCCAGAAACTATTATAAAGGCTCTTTTTTAGTTAGTCTAAGTTGAGATTGCAAATATGTAATTAAAGGGCATTTAATTTATCATGATTATTTCAACTACATGGTCTTAATAGAGGATGATGTAAAGGTCGGTACACTTAACTAATAATATTATTCTTCGGGTAATCAAACAATTCAATGGGAAAAACTTTGGAGGGTATTTTCCCATCTCTTTTGCTCTTTTCTTTTCTGTTTTCATTGCAGAAAAATTGCATTTATATGGAAAGAGAAAAGAAAGTTAAAAGAAACTCTACAATGGAAGAAAATCATTATTTTACTTGGGACATGGATGCTTGAGTAGTTGTATATGATTTGTCTTTTTGCTGCACAGTTTGGTTGTTAGACTCTTTTAACACTCACAATGATGCTTTTTCTTATGATTTTTCTTTTTTTACCTACCCGTAATTCTTGTTCATATTAGTTTTGTTATAAAAAAAACAATTGTTGGATATTATCCTTATCCTTCTAGATACTTTTTGTTTGTGGTTTCAGGAATTAGAATTTTTGAGGATGTTTCTGATCACAAGGTATGTATAAAGTTCCCTTATTTGGGTGGGGGAGGCTCCTGGGTGATACATATTATTAAACATATCTTGAAAACTCGTCAGCTTTCCACTTGTGTCTGTCATTTTAACAGTAGTTATAAGAGTATAATAGTTGTCTTGTTGCTGATTTGTGTATTACCCACTACTTATTTCTCTCTGTCAATATTTTGTTTGTGAAACCTGAACAGCATAAGTTCTGAAAAAGATTTATTCTGGTGCATCAGTGTACGTTTCAACAACTATCATTCGTAGTTATAATATAACATAGATGGCTAATTACCGTAAAGTCAGGATCAATAGCCATTCATAGGAAATCAAACAGGTTTCCTGATCAAACTCACTTTATAGTTTTATGTTGCTAAAGGACTTCAAAAGAATGAGCTTCTGGTTCAGGAGTTAAGACATATCAGCTGTTCCCCCTCAAGTATTCATTATATTCATTTCTACTGTAGTTGGTTGGGTTTTAGAAACTCCAGCATTTCTTCTTGCTAGGGAAGTCCTTTCTAATTAAACTAGAAGATTTCATTTTTTATTTTTGACTATTCTAAAATTCCCTCAGTCTTTTTTTGGGACTCGTGAAAGATTAACTCTAAAATTGTTTTCTTTTCTTCCTATTATGAATTTGTGCTAATTCATAATAGGAAGATGGGTGTAGGTTGTTGCTCAACTGGTATCTGCTAGTTGAGTTAGATGGGTGTAGGTTGTTGTTCTAGGGTTCAATCCTTGGCAGTAGCATTTTCTTTGTATTCTCTCATAATGTATTGTTCTAACAAGTTGATACTTATAATCGACAACTTAAAAAAAAAACTTACTATCTCTTTTGATAAAAAAGAAGAAATTGTGGAATTAAGTGACCGTGAGAGTTTCCAAATAGCGGTATTTGCTCATAGTTATACTATACAAAAGTGACTTTTAAAAGTACATTTTTGTGTATATTGTTGTCTTGTAAGCGGAGAATGAAGTGACTTTTATGTTTCCACGATGTTATTAGGAAAGTATTGTATAAAATCTTCGATATGTTTCTGTCACATTTAAAATAATACTAGAGATTAGTGCTCTGTTTCATTATGATATAACTAATTTCTGATGTATTACTTTTTTGTTCTTTGTAGAATGGTAAGGGCGTCCTTGCAAAGTCTGTTGGTGTTATTGATGCAACTGCAGATACTGTTTTTGAAGTGCTTTTCAATATTGAACAACAGAAAAGATATGAGTACGTAGCCTCTAAATATGGATTGACTTTTTTGTAACTTATTAGGAAAATTAGGGTCTATGTGGTTTCGAAAAAATGCCTACTGTTTACTGTTTACTGTTTCCATTTCTTATTTTCACTAATAATTACCAAAAATGTCATTTCGTTTTACTTTTTCCTATTTTCATAAATTTGTTTCACCATTTCCTATACAATATTTGAAAACAAGAAAAAATTGAGAACAATATATGTTTTTATAAATATCAATGAATACGCACAACACAACAAAAGCAGAAAAATATTTTCCCGAACTAGATTGGCTTTTAATCTCTTCAAAAATTGTATTTTTTGCAGGTGGGATATGTTAGTTTGTGACTTAGAGCCTGTAGATTCTTATGATGGACATTATGACGTTGTTTACGGGACATATGATCCTAAGTATCTATCCCGGTAATCTATTGATGTTAACCTTTTCAAAAATCATAACATAATTGCAACTGGATTTCTGTAATAGGATGTTCTGTTCTGTTCTGTAAAATTTAAATTTCTCTCATTTCTCATCTGTGTATACAAAGTATTGATTTTTCATTGATGAAAATTTGTATTCACTAGCTAAGGCTAACTTGATTTTTTCTATTACCTTTGACTTCTGTCATGTAGAATTCTTCATATTAGCCCTGCGATAACTTATTGGTTATGTATTTGTGTTTGAGGATCGGTCCTTGCTATAGTTAGCTGTGATGAAATTTTGGTTACGAAATAGCTACAATTTCCTCACTTCTTTGTCTTCTCTCCGATTGTGTTATTAATTTGTTTTTCCATCTTTTACTTTTTGAAATATTATTCATTAATTACCTTTTAAACATAACTCAGGTGGCATCCAAAGCAGGATTTTGTCTTTTCTAGGCAATGGTTTCGTGGACAAGACGGAGCATACAGTAAGAATATGGTCATTTACTTTCTTTGCTCGTATGGTAGTGTTATGTTCTTCATTTGCCGGTTGAATTTTTAAGAAATGGGGACTCTTGCACAATACTTGTTGAGAAAGCTGAAAATGAGAAAGCACGTGACTGCATCTGTGTGCATTACACATCATACTCGTGTCTATAATAAATATAAATATTATCCTTGATTATATTCACATGATGTTGTACGACAATAACTACCCTTTCCACGTTATTACAAACCCTCTCTCTCTGTTTAGATCATATAAATGATCGTTTGCAAAGCTTGTTACACATAGAGTATATATGAGAAACCCTCACGGACTTGGTGAAAACATGTCAATTGATCATTTGAATTTTGAACAAACAAGCTATTTATGATGTCTACATATAATATCTCTAATAAAATTGGCGATTTATCTCAATGCACTCAGTCCTCCAACAAAATATTGGAATTGACGAAATATTGAGTGCAACTTGTTATCACAAATGAGTGTCTTCTGTGAAACCTCCCAAACTCTAAGCTCTCTGTTAAGAATTCTGTTATCAGTCCACTTGCATTTGTCCACATTTTAGATGTTAGTCTTGAGTGTGAGGCGTGCATTGAGACCCCATATCAACCTATGTAGTCAACTGTGCTGCGATCAAACTTGGTTCTGGAATGCCAGCACAGCGAGGAGCTGTGCTGCGGCGCATTTCTCTGGAGATGCGCATTTAGCAGGGGTTAGAGATTTATCTTCTGAATGTGCTTCTATGCATGACAAACAGTAGCGGCAGATTATCTGTGCTCAAACCATGATGGAACTTTGAGGTGGGGTGGCGAGGTCTTGGGGTTGCAATGCGGACCAATCGGCTGTTTGTTGGAAATTGTGGCAATCGACAATGTCTAAGGTATATATCAGCTGTGAGATGAAGGGAATTTTGTTGGAGACATGGGCCAAAAAGAGAAACATTCGAAAAGGACATGGAGATAGGAGACAAGAGAAGAAACACAGATTATTTATTTATTTTATTTACAAAAAACTCCAATGGAGTGGGGCCATTGAGTATTAACAAACTAGGTTCTGCTACCAGGATGATAAAAAGGAAATGTGAGAGCATATGAGTGAACCTGCATGAAAGTATGTTTGTATGTGTGTGTTTACATGTATGTGCTATTCATTGTATGCAAGGAATCATAATAAATAGGACAACTAACATTACCATATTTACTATATTTATATGATGTTGTATACTCATCTATTTGTATTATTTATAATAATACTCATCGAAATACAATAATACTACAAAAGTGAATTTCATGTTATAGAATTGCATAATGCAGTTAGGGAATTATGTTAGGAAATTCTCATTGTATTTCATAATGAAAGAGATACAATGAACTCTCATTATATAGAGAGTTTGCTGTAACAGAAAGCTAACTAACTCTTTACAGCTCAGCTCAACAATACAGCTCAGCACCTAAGTATAATGTAAATTACTAACTAGTAACTAACTCTATCATTCCCCGTTAGAAGTGGAGGTTGTGCTTATCAAACTTTGTTAAACACTTAGTTTATCACGAAGAGGAAGAAACTTCACTGCAGATAGAGGTTTAGTTAAAGCATCTGCCCACTGATCTTGAGTTGGAACATGAGCCACAACAAGACTCTTGTTAAGAACCTTCTCTCTCACAAAGAAGATATCTAACTCCATATGCTTGGTCCTGTTATGTAGGATAGTGTTATGAGCAAGGGTGACTGTGCTCAGATTGTCACACAAGATCTTTGGAGTTTGAAATTGGCAGTGCAATTCCTTAAGAAGTGACTGAGCCCAAATTCTTTCAGCAACTAGTTGAGCCATACTACGATATTCTGCCTCTGCACTGGATCTGACCACTAACTGCTGCTTTTTAGACCACCAAGACACAACATTAGGACCAAGAAAAACACATGCCCCTAAGGGAGACCTTCTGTCATCTGGATCTGATACCTAATCAGCATCACATAAGCCAAGCAAAGTCAGAGACTGCTGAGCAGGTGCAGGTTGGTGCAGGTTAAATGGAAGACCACGATGGAAAGTGCCACTCAAATACCTCAATATCCTCTTTACAACCTTCCAATGTTCCTCCAACTGACACACCTTATTTACAAAGAAGGAAATTTCAGGTCTTGTTAAAGTCGCATATTGCAAAGCACTAACAACAGACTTAAACTGAGTAGGATCAGAAACTTAATTGGAACCAACTTTGGATAGTTTGCTGCTGGAAACCATATGAGTAGGCATTGTTAATCAGGAAATAATCTTTGCAGTTATTGTGAATAATTTACATTCATAGAATAAAAAATTAGTCATTATGAGTTGTAATTAGTTATTATGAGCTGTAATTAGTTATTATGAGTTGTAATTACCGACACTATTATATATAGTATGAAAGGCAATGAGAAAGGCATCAAGCCAAATTTCATGACATGGTATCAGTAGGTTCGATCAAACCTGAAAAATACTATTATATTGGCTGATCAGCGATACCCCACTGATTCGCTCTCGTAATCGTGTTTGTTTCGAAATTCTTTCGTTTGAAATCGAAACCTTGCAGCTGTCTGAGATTCTAAATCTTTGGTTGCCGGTTCGTGATTTCTTCTTGGAGATTCTCGTTGTTGCGCTGATATTGCAATCAATTTTTTTGGTTCTTGGCTGTTGTTGCTTCGTAATTCTGGATCGTCATAATCTTCTGTTTTGCCGCTCCTTCCAAATCGTGGATTTGCTCGTGCTGTTGTTCGTTGGTTTGTGGGTATTGTTTCTTGTTGCTGCTTTAGTAACTGTGATTACAGTTACTGTTATTATATTATAATAATAATAATAATAATCATTATTTTTATAATTATTATTATAATAATAATAAAATAATATTAGTGAGATTGTATCTGGTGGCTTAATAATTTAGATGGCTTCCGAAAAAGAAAGAGATAATTTTTGTGTTCGTTTTACCGGCAAGAATTATTCGGCATGGGAATTTCAGTTCAAGATGTATGTTAAAGGAAAGGGATTATGGAGTCACTTAGATGATGTTTCTAAGGCACCAACGGAGAAAACTGCTTTAGATGCGTGGGAAACTAAAGATGCTCAAATTATCACTTGGATTCTAAACAGTATTGATCCTCAGATGATAAATAATTTGCGTTCTTTTTCAAATGCTCAAGAAATGTGGAATTATCTGAAGCGCATTTACAACCAGGACAGTTCGGCAAAACGTTTTTAGTTGGAGTTAGACATCGCCAACTACAAACAAGGTGATTTGTCTATTCAAGAATACTATTCTGGTTTTTTGAATCTTTGGGCAGAACACTCTGCTATTATACATGCTAATGTTCCCAAGACCTCTCTTGCGGCTGTTCAAGAGGTCTACAACACAAGTAGGCGAGATCAATTCCTCATGAAGCTTCGTCTAGAATTTGAGGTTGTCAGAGGTGCTTTGCTAAATAGGAATCCTGTTCCTTCTTTGGATACATGTGTTGGTGAACTTCTCAGGGAGGAACAACGTCTCTTTACTCAAGGAACCATGTCTCATGATACTGTCAGTTCTGAGCCTGTGGCAATTGCATATGCTGCTCAAAGTAGAAATAAAGGTTGTGATATGCAACATGTCCAATGTTTTTCTTGCAAACAGTTTGGACATATTGCTCGTAGCTGCAGTAAGAAGTTTTGTAATTATTGCAAACAACAAGGTCATATCATTTCTGACTGTCCCACGCGTCCTCCACGACCAGCACATCATTCGGTGAAGGCATTTCATGCCACTACAGGCCATACAATTGGCTCTTCCACCACTGGTGCATCAGATGACAATGCTCTACAACCTGAAATGATTCAACACATGGTACTTTCTGCCCTTTCAGCCTTGGGTATTAAGGGTAAGTCTTCTCATGTTTCTCGTCCATGGTTTATTGATTCTGGTGCATCCAATCACATGACAGGTTCATCTGAAAACTTGCACAATTTACATTCTTATCATGGTAATCAGAAAATTCAGATTGCTAATGGTAATACCTTGTCTATCACTAACGTTGGGGACATAAACTCGGATTTTCAGAATGTGCTTGTCTCACCTGGACTTGCTTCTAATTTATTGTCTGTTGGTCAATTGGTGGACAATAATTGTAATGTTAATTTTTCTCGGTCTGGTTGTCTTGTGCAGGAGCAGGTGTCGGGGAAAGTGATCGCGAAGGGGCCTAAAGTGGGAAGATTGTTTCCAATACAATTTATTTCTAATCATTTGTCTCTTGCTTGTCATAATGTTTTGAATTCCTATGAGGATTGACATAGAAAACTAGGTCATCCATACTCTTTTGTTTTGTCTCATTTATGTAAAAGTGGCTTGTTGGGAAATAAAAATGTTATTCCTGATGCCTCTGTTTCATGTTCTGTTTGCAAATTGGCTAAAAGTAAAACACTTCCTTTTCCGTCTGGTGCTAATCGTGCTTCCACTTGTTTTGAGATGATTCATAGTGATGTATGGGGAATGTCTCCTGTGGTTTCTCATGCTCACTATAAATATTTTGTCACATTTATTGATGATTATAGTCGATTTACTTGGATATATTTTCTCCGTTCTAAATCCGAAGTGTTTTCTATGTTTAAGAAATATTTGACATATGTTGAAACTCAATTTCAAGCAAGTGTTAAAATTTTTCGATCTGACTCTGGTGGTGAGTACATGTCTCATGAGTTTCAGGAATACCTTTAACAAAAAGGCATCTTGTCTCAACGGTCTTGTCCCAATACCCCTCAACAAAATGGCACAGCAGAACGTAAGAATCGTCATTTGCTTGATGTAACACGCACCTTACTTCTCCAAGCTTCTGTACCATTCCGATTTTGGGTGGAGGCTCTTTCCACGGCTGTCTTCTTGATCAATCGTATTCCTTCTACAGTTATTGATCTTGATTCTCCTTTCTTCCGTCTATTTAAAATTCATCCTGATTATAGTGTTTTACATACTTTTGGGTGTGTGT